TGCTATGCTATGCTATGCTATGCTATGCTATGCTATGCTATGCTATGTTATGTTATGTTATGTTATGTAAATCTATACTATAGGAAAAGATATATATAATACTAACATATCTGTGCATCTTAAATCTGCCTGGTGTTTGCATGCACACACCAGCCACAGCGGCAGGGAGAGCTGCAAGACTGTTTGCTCACCCTGGATGCTGCGTATTCAGTCACAGCCGTGGCCTTCTGTGATGGGCAACAACAGGGCAGCAACATCTGACTTTCATAGAATCACTCAATCATAGAATTGCTCAGGTTGGAAAAAACCTTAAAGATCGTCAAGTTCAACTGCAACCTAACCATACTACCCTAACTCTAACAATCCTCCACTAAATCACGTCCCTGAGCACCACATCCAAATGGTTTTTAAACACATCCAGGGATGGTGACTCAACTGGGAAGCCTATTCCAGTGCTTAACCACCCTTTCTGCAAAGAAGGGTTGATATCCTGATATCCAACCTAAACCTCCCCTGGTGCAACTAGAGGCCATTTCCCCTCATCCTGTCACCTGTCACCAGTGAGAAGAAACCAACCCCACTCTTACTGTAAGCACCTTTCAGATATTGAAAGAGAGCAGTAAGGTCTCCCCTCGGCCTCCTTTTCCCCAGACTCAACAGCCTCAGTTCCTTCAGTCTCTCCCCGTAGGCCACATTCTCCAGGCCCTTCACCACCTTGTTGCCCTTTTTTGGACCTGCTCCAGCACCTCAGTGTCCTTTCTGTACTAAGATGCTCAAAACTGAACACAGTACTCGAGGTGAGGCCACACCAGTGCTGAGTACAGGGGCAGGACGACTTCCCCAGTCCTGCTCCCCACACCATTCCGGATACAAGCCAGGATGCCATTGGCCTTCTTGGCCACCTGGGCACACTGTTGGCTCTAATTCAGCTGACTGTCTATCAGCAAGTACATCAAGGTCCCTTTCCCTCAGGCACTCCTCCTGCCTGGGGTTTCAGCACCCCTCACACTAACCCTGTCTCATGCTGGGGCTAAATGCAATGCCTGTTTTGCAACCATTACACAACCGGGCGAGGGGCTGCGGAAGCCCTCGGGGAACAGAAGGAGCAGCAGGGGGGCGAACAGCTCCCGGCAGTCACTGCAGGCCCGTAGGCGGGCAGGCCTACAGCTCCCGGCAGGCCGGGCGCCGCACGTAGTTCCGTCGCGCTGACTCGAAAGGGCCGCGCCGCGCTTCCTGCGCTCGGGCGGCCACACGCGGCCCGCCACCATGGCGGCCGTGCGCGTGGAGGAGGTGCTGGCGACGGCGGCCCAAGAACAGCAGCAGCCGCGGAGCCTGCAGGTAGAGAAGGAGCTGGAGCTGGAGTTCGACCTGGGCAACCTGCTGGCGCTGGACCCCAACCCTCCGCCGGCCGCGGCACTGCGCGGGGCCGGGCCGCGGCGGGAGTCGCAGCTGCGGGCGCTGGCCCGGGACAACGCGCAGCTGCTGGCGGCGCGGCTGTGGGAGCTGCCGGCCGAGCGGGCGGACGGGGCGGCGGGACCGCTGGTGGCGCGGCTGCCCGAGCCCGCCTTCCGCCTGCCCCGGGAGAAGCCGCCGCCGCGCCCGCGGCCCCCCACGCGCTGGGAGCAGTTCGCCCGGCTGAAGGGCATCCGGCGCCGCAAGCGGACCTCGCTGGTGTGGGACGAGCAGGCCAAGGAGTGGCGGAGGCGCTGGGGGTACCGGCGGGCGGGCGGCGACCCCGGCCGCGCCTGGCTGGCGGAGGTGCCGGCGGGCGCCGACCCGGAGGAGGACCAGCTCGCCAAGCTGCGGCGCGCTAAGCGCGAGCGGGTGGCCCGTAACGAGCTCAACCGGCTGCGGAACCTGGCCCGGGCGCACCGCTCCGCCGCCGCCGCTCCGCTGCACCCCACGGGCCACCAGAGCCGCCAGGAGCTGGGCCTGGCCGCGCGCGTGGCCCGCGTCTCCACCGCCTCGCTCGGCCGCTTCCAGCCGCGGCTGCCCAAGGAGCCGGCCGAGCCGCCCTCCCGCGACGGCGGCAAGAAACGGCGCTTCGGGCCGCTGCTGGGTGACTTGGCTGCCGAGCGCGGGCGGCAGCTGGAGCTGCTGCGGGGCATGAGCGCCAAGAAGCCGGCTCTGGACATCACCCGCGCCGTCAATAAGCAGCTCCGCGAGGAGGACGCCGAGGCGGCCGCCGCCAAGGGCAAGAAGCGGGCGCAGCGTGGCAAGCGGGGCCGCCGGCAGCAGCAGCGGCCCGGGAAGAGGAGCGGCGGAGGCAAGAAGGGCGGCGCAGCCCGGAGGCAGCAGCGACCTGCCGGAGGTGGTGGGAGGAGGAAGAAGGCTTGAGGGACTGCCGGCCTGCAGGCCACGAAGGGATCGGCGCTGCAGGCACTGAGCGACTGCGTGCGAGGGGTGCGAAGGGACTGCTCTGCCGCTGTGCGGCCCACACCTCTGTCAATAAACACCCTTTGGTCTTTGTAAAATGTCTTGTGCATGGCTCCTGTGGGATGGCCGGGTGGCAGCTCCCATGCCCGGCAATGGGGAGAACAGGGCTCGGCAGCAGGGTGCAGCCTGAGCTGTCCGTGTTGTCAGACTGATAGCAGATGTAGTTGAAGTGGGCCAAGCGTTGGGTTCTGCATTTTAGTTGCAACAACCCCAGGCAGCCCTAAGGCTTAGAGAGGAGTGGCTGGAAAGCTGCCTGAGGGAAAGGGACCACAGTGTACTTGATGGCTGAATATAAGCCAGCAGTGTGCCCAGGTGGCCAAGAAGGCCAACGGCATCGTGGCTTGTATCCGGAATGGTGTGGTAAGCAGGACTGGGGAAGTCATCCTGCCCCTGTACTCAGCACTGGTGTGGCCTCACCTTGAGTACTGTGTTCAGTTTTGGGCGCCTCAGTACAGAAAGGACACTGAGGTGCTGGAGCAGGTCCAAAAAAGGGCAACAAGGTGGTGAAGGGCCTGGAGAATGTGGCCTACGGGGAGAGACTGAAGGAACTGAGGCTGTTGAGTCTGGGGAAAAGGAGGCTGAGGGAAGACCTTACTGCTCTCTTCCAATATCTGAAAGGTGCTTACAGTGAGAGTGGGGTTGGTTTCTTCTCACTGGTGACAGGTGACAGGATGAGGGGAAATGGCCTCGAGTCACACCCGAGTCGAGGGGAGGTTTAGGTTGGATATCAGGAAACACTTATTTACAGAAAGGGTGGTTAAGCACTGGAATAGGCTTCCCAGTTGAGTCACCATCCCTGGATGTGTTTAAAAACCATTTGGATGTGGTGCTCAGGGATGTGATTTAGTGGAGGATTGTTAGGGTAGTATGGTTAGGTTGCAGTTGAACTTGACGATCTTTAAGATTTTTTCCAACCTGAGCGATTCAAAACAAAAGCTCTCAGTACATTACTACTGCTGAGCGGTGAGCGCTGCAGCCAAACGCCCCGGCGTCCCGCCCAGCGGCGCCACACGGTTGGTCCCGGCGCGGCCGTCCCAGCAGTCCCCGCAGCGCGATGGCGGCAGGGCGGGACAGGGCTGTGCGCCTCCTGCGGCAGCTGCAGCGGGCGGCGTGAGTGCGGACGGGCCGGGGGGCGAGGGGACGGGCGGGGAGCAGCAGGGGGCGGCATGCACCGTGCGTTCGGACGGGGTGGCGGAATACCTGCAAGAGGCTCTGAGGAATTTGCGGGTTTTCTGCCTTAGTTGTACCTTTTAAATGTCACTTTTGTTTTTGTGTTTTTTGTTTGGTTGTTGTTGTTGTTTTTTCTTTCCTGCTATCTAGATGTCGGTGCCCGACTCACAGCCACACTTATTCCCAAGGTATGGTTTAAATTGTGTGTCTGAAGTAATTCTGCATGAGACCGTGGCCATTAGTTACACATACTGCCTGGGTAGAGGGTGCATGTAACAGGTAGAAAAGAGAGCAGTGAGAGCATAAGGTGAGCAGTCTCTTATTTTGCAGCTGTACAATAAAAAAGATTTTTGTTGGAGAGATCCCGTGTCTCCATGTAAGCTGCAGCCAGGGTCTCCTGTCCTCTTTCCCCCTGCGAAAAGGCTGCACAGAAGCTGGCTGCTGCTGGGCATAGAGTCATACAGTCACAGCGTGTCCTGAGTTGGAGAGGACCTACACAGATCACTGAGTCCAACTCCTGACTACACAGAACCACATAAAAATCAAGCCCTCAGTCTGAGAGTGCTGTCCAAATGCTCTTTGAACTCTGGCAGCTTGGGGCCATGCCCAGTGCCCTGGGCAGCTCATTCCGTGCCCACCGCCCTGTGGCGCAGACCCTTTCCCTAACAGCAGCTGCCCCTCCCCTCACACAGCTCCATGCCATTCCCTCGAACCCTGTCGCTGTCACAGAGCAGAGCTCAGCGCTGCCCTCTGTTCCCTGAGGAACTGCAGCTGCCATCAGGCCTCCCCTCAGCTCCTCTGCGCTGGGCAAACCAAGGCACTTCAGGTGATCCTCGTATATCTTGCCTTCCAGACACTTCCACATCTTTGTAGCTCTCCTGTGGACTCTCTCTAATAGTTGTCTGCCATGTGTACTAGACTCAGAAAGGTTTATTACATTTTTGTTTATTACTTCTTTTCCGTTTGTCATGGCATAAGTTGGGCTTTCCATTCCCAACCCTCCCTTCTCTTGCCTGAACAACTCCTGCATATCTTCTTTGATCACACAACATGCTGTTCGGAGCTCTTCTCTCCCTACTGCATTTCTCTGAAGCTTCTCATGCTGGACCACCTCCTTTGGCAAGTACAGTATCTACAGCTGGACAGTAGTTCTGCTGTCACCTGAGCCATCTCATCTTCACAACTGCATCTGAGCGGGAAAATGTGTGTCTGTTATGCTTTAAAAAGAATCAAATGAAGTGAGTAAAAAGGAGCTATTCACAAAAGTGTGCTTTAATGTGGGAATTGCCATCTCAGGCTTTTTATGCAGTCAGTCCAGAGGAGGTGAGTCACTTAGATCAGGCTTAAGGAACATGAGCAGGAGAAGCCACACTGGTGATGGAAGTGCCTTTGCAGGAGCTTCTGTTCTGGGAGTCCAGGTTAATAACCATGTGCTGTTTAATTTCCATATGTTCTCATTCCCCACGTTTCACTCTTAATACTCTAAGGGTACATACAAGATACAATAGATACAATTTTTGTAAGAATTGATATTTGGGGCTGTAATTTCAGTAATGAGTGGTTCTGAGTGGCTTTGTTTCTTGTGCTTTATTGAAGGCACTTTTTAAAGAATGATCATTGCCATTTTACATGTGGAAAAGCTAATATACGTTCAAGTAGTTATTTTGCCCACGTAAGCAAGACAAAAGCACAGCTGAGAAATACAATCTCATTTTTTTCTGCTTGATTACTTCCTCAGTCAGTTCAAACTAAACCTTTTTAACTAGAAATCTTAATTAAGAATGCTCTCCAAGTTTTAGGCAGAAATTGATTGTTCAAAGTAGCAACAGGATATCAGTTCCATATGTTTGTAAGTAACAGGAATTGGCTTAACAGTGAGTAGCAAATATATATATATATATATTGTTCATTGTGATTGTTGGCAGTGTTGAGGGAAATGCTGCAGTTTTTGAACTCACCAAAATTCTTCCTGTAAGTTAGGTTTTGCACAGGAGAATAACAGCAGGTCACCTATTATAACATCAGGAAGCAAGTGAGTAAATCTCTTGGACAAGTTAAGTTAATGACTGGGAGTGCAGCACATCCATGCTTCAGGAGAGGTCAAACATGTACAGCCTGGCAAGAGATGGCAATGAAAGAGCGGACAGCAGCTGGCCTGGGCTTGAATAGAATGCACATAAAGGACTTTAATACATCTATCTGTTACTGTTGTGGGTCAGTGCTTCAGAGCACCCTGGAGTGTCTGTAAGACTCATTATGGCTTCACTCATTGGATCTGAATCCAAATCACATTTTTTCCAATTAATTAAGGCATGACTTCAGCTGGAAGAGTAGAATGCCTCATCTGATCCTTTCTTGAAGAAGAATGGACTGTTTCAGTTGATGTGGTTTGTTTCACTTTGTGACAGCGTCAGGATATGCAAAAGAGAATTCATGTGGGAATGATACAGCGAAGAGAAGATATTATTGAAACACTGTCCTTACAAATACGTTTTTTGTACTAAATGATGTTGGTAGTAACATCGATTCATATAAAAGCTCTATCTATTATTAGCTATGCATGCAGTTTCTTAATTTTCAAGCGAGCAGTTAAGTGTCACCTATAAGTTCAGAACCAGTTGGAAGTAAAAAGAAGTATAAACACCTATCATAACAGTTTCCACACGTGCAAAAGGCACTTTCAGTTCAGAGGTGTATGGAGGATGTCTCTTGTTTTTGTCATGCAAGTTGTTTTGAAAGTTAGCACATAGGCCCTGCACATTTGTAACAACACTGAAACAGTATGGAGCATTCTGTATGCCCTGCAGATACTCAGCTGCTTGTATTTATCAAATAAATGCATAAATATTCATATATATTACAAGTTTGCAAATTTCCTGCTAACTTACTCAGGTTGTATAGGAAATAAATCTTAAGGAATGAAAAACGATTTTGAATCATATGAATCAAAAGAACTCAAATGATTCTATGATTCTAAGTACTAAGATCATTTAACCACTCCAACAGGTGAGCACAAAATGGGTGTTACCCAGAGAAGCAAAGATGACCTGTGCCAATGTTTTGGTGATTTTAAAATGAAAGAAATCTGTCTTTTTAGTATTGCTGTAGAGACTGAGGCCACTATCTGTTCCTTAATTTTAATGTTTAATTTTCATTTCAGTTCCTGAACGGGCTACCCTGAGAAATACAGACTATGCATTTGAGGTAGATTTAATAATAAAGTAAATTTGATTTTAAAATAATATGCTTTTTACTATCAAGTATGGCATTTAACAAGTGCTTACATTAGTAAATATTCAAATTTCATTTTGATTGCTTGGGGCTTGATGACATATCTTCACTTTTTCTCAGAAAAATTATGTTCTTTATTTTGCAGATGGCCATTTCAAACATCCGATATGGAGAAGGAGTCACTAAAGAGATTGGCATGGTAAGCATTGTTAATGCAAATCCATCACTGGGGAAGAGTTATTTTCCGAAAGGCTGCTGGTGCTGACAGTCCATTTAATATGTGAAAGCTCATATATTGTTTATCTGAACCTCCACTGTATGCCCATATATGTAAGTATCTGCAGCTCCTCTTTTCTTTAGCTATTATTGTTTCAAAAGTCTTACAAGAAGCAACTGCTTCTCAAGGTTTCACTAAATGATTCAGCTGTTTCGGTGTAGAATTTAAATAGGTCAGTGTGTGATTCCACACCAACTGTTTGTTTTAATTTCATTGTCATTGTAGGACCTGCAGAATCTGGGGGCTAAAAGAGTTTGCTTGATGACAGATAGAAACCTCTCCCAACTCCCTCCTGTAGATGCAGTGTTGAATTCCTTGACAACATCTGGTATAAACTTTCAGATATATGATAACGTCCGGGTGGAGCCAACAGACCAGAGGTATTGCTTCTGACAGCATGTTTTTTAAAGGGGTGCTGAGGCTTTTCAGCATGCCTTGCAGCTATTTCAACACCTCTTTGTGACCTGTAAACCACCCTTAATTGCTTCCCCTGTGCTGTTATTCCCATGACTAATTGGAAAGCTTTCCTTGTTTCCCAAGTTTCCTGGATGCCATCGAATTTGCTAAAAAGGGGGAATTTGATGCCTATGTTGCCGTTGGAGGTGGGTCTGTGATAGATACCTGTAAGGCTGCCAACCTGTATGCCTCCAGCCCTACGTCAGACTTCTTGGATTATGTCAACGCTCCTATAGGGAAGGGAAAGGCTGTCACTGTGCCCCTTAAGCCACTCATTGCAGGTAAAGCAGTGGAGGCGCGTGTGGGGGGTGAGGGAGAAGAGAAAAGGATCAGTTCTGTGGTCTGCACATATTTCTACTGAAATCAGTTTGCTGTCATCTTTTCCCCTCCCTTTGGGCTTACTTTTCCTTTAGCTGTATTCAGCAGTAAATCTGCTGTTTGCTTCACAGGTTTTGTCATTAATTGGTCTTGTTGAGCTGAGTGTGACAACCCTTTACCAAGAAAAGCAATTAAAGAGGCTATTTTTTGACCCATTGGCTTCCAATCAAGAATACTTCCAGGATTTCTTGGATCTTGCACTTGTGGTGGCACTATTATTGTATTTTTATTTACTTGTTGTGAATATTTGTTATCTATTAATTATTTGTTTTTATTTATTGGTTGTGAGTGCCTCCTCCCTGGAAGCATTCAAGGCCAGGCTGGATGGGGCTTTGAGCAACCTTGTCTAGAGGGAGGTGTCCCTGCCTAAAACAGGGGTTGGAGCTACATGATCTTAAAGGTCCCTTCCAACCCAAACCTTTCTATGATTCCATTATTTATTTTGTATTTTGTGTTAATGAGTGTTATTTATTATATGTTACTGTCCTTGTTCTTTTTGTGAAGTGCCAACAACAGCTGGAACTGGAAGTGAAACCACTGGTGTTGCCATTTTTGACTTCAAAGAGCTTAAAGTAAAAACTGGTGAGACTTTTTGTTTGCTATTAAAACAATTTTTGTGTCCCAATGTCTTCATCATTTCCTTGTCTTGAACAAGAGGGATACTGCCTGTCATTTCAGATGTCATTTCATTTGATTCAACTGCCACAGACAAATTTGAAGCTTAAAGGTTTCCTCCTCAAATTAAATTTATAGCATATTAACATAATGAAATGCCTGTGCAATACAGTGGATTACAATTTGAAGGCAAACCAGGATACTAAAATCCTTCAAGTCTTTAAGTGGCAGAAAATGTTAATGGCAAAGGAAATTTATACTTACATTCAAGGTCAACCAACTGTTCCTTATTTCCTCTGTATTTTTCTGTCTGTTTTTAAGACTTATGCTTCTTTGTTTTGTAATTGCAACCAAATGTTCCCTTTCCTGACTTCTGAAACCTTGGGCCTGAGATGCTGTGCAAATAAAGGGCACTGTCTTCCTTTGACCTTTTCATCCCTGGAAAACAAGAATTACAGCTAAAATGTCATCTTAAGCTTCACAGCTATTTTGAGGTTTTATTTCAAAACATGTGGATTTTATATGCTATGTCTGCAGTGGCTGGGACCCAAACGTGTGTGCTAATTGTGACTGTAGCTCAGAGTTTTATAATCTATATGTAGTCAGTCAGTCTGTCTGTCTGCATGGCTCTCTCTGTCTCTCAAAGCTACATCTGTGTCACCTCAACCATGGTATGAAGGCAGAGATTACAGATCTGAGATATGATAAATATCAATGTATGGTGGAAACAAACCAGTGCTCCTCTGATTCCTAGAGCTGTTCACAAGAGATACAAATTTAAGAGTGATGTTGCAGATGTCATTCAGCACAGATGTTTTAAAAGTACAGTCTGCTCAAGGAGAGTGACAGAGAACACTGGTGTAATTTACTTCAGGCAACAGTCTCTTATGGGGACTTCAGTAAGATTTAGATTCATAGATCTTGCTCTCACTTCTCTCCCTTTGCTTTTCTCTGTGTATTTTCAAATCATTTCCCTCCTTTATGTATTGAACATTAAACTTGTGTGGTCCTGTTTTGTTGTAAAAACTCATTTGCCTCAAATATATTGCAGGTATTGCTTCAAGAGCCATCAAGCCAACACTGGGCATCATTGATCCTTTGCACACACTGTCTATGCCTGAGCGAATAGTGGCCAACAGTGGCTTTGATGTGCTTTGGTGAGTTTTCTGTGTAGGCTACTGCTTGATTTTATTGCAATTTTCCATTTTTGCTACAATGGTTGTAGAAGAAGTGTACTTGAGGAGTAGAAAATGATCTTTTTTTCTTCCTCTCTTGTTCTTATTAAGGTGATCTCTGTTACACTTTTCTCTTCATGTGCTTTTCACTTGTTGGAAAACTAACCTCAGCTTTAACCTACAGCTTCTAACTGCTCAGAGTACACAGAAGTTTATATTCTGGGAGTCAGAACTTGCCTTGCTTCTGGGTGTTGCGTGCATTAGAGTAATAGATGCATAAGGAAACTGTGTGACCTCTCAAGCTTGGTGAGTTGTTCTGAGCTACAATGACCAACGGCATTTCTTTGTAAATAAAGATGTGCTGTCTGTAGTTGGTACCTCTAAGTGTAGCAATGTAGGCAGTGCACTTCATGTAACCAGATTTATGAGTATCTGGGAAATAAGACCTTTGGCAGTGGGCTCTCCCACTTAAATAATTCATGGTTTGATCTTTCTTTTAGCCATGCTCTTGAGTCATACACCGCTCTTCCATACAAGATGCGCAGTCCCTGCCCTTCAAATCCAATCAACAGACCAGCTTACCAAGGCAGCAACCCCATCAGTGATGTCTGGGCTCTTCATGCTCTACGCATTGTAGCTAAATATTTGAAAAGGTAATACCTTTAGCAGCCATCCCTCCTCACAGAATATTTAGTCTTCAGCGCTCAAGAAGAAGAATTTGAGTTTGAAGTAATGTTTTAAACCTACATTTTCTACATTTAATTCCTCCTGAATTAGGATTACTCCAGTAGAGTTAGCTTTTTAATGCTTCTCTGGATCTATTTTAGAAGTCCTCAGTAAAAATTATTCATAGTCACTCAGTTACCATGAGAGAAAAAATCATGTTGTTTTGAAGAGACATTGTAAGGGGAATATGTAACAAACTGAGTAAGACATCATGCTGGTGTCATTTTCATGGCTTTCAGTGTAAATTAGTATACACATGCATCCATTGAGAAGATAACCATGTAGAAGATAATTCACATAAATATGTGCAAAGTTATGTTTTTACTGAAAACAGTGCCTTCAGTTTAAATGAAGTTTTGACTTTATTGGGAGTTGGATTTGATCCTTACCAATGAAGTTTTGGTCTGTAAAAAATTTTTATATACAATGTAAGTTTATGTTAAAGATCACTATGTTACTTTGTTAAAGACTTTTTACAATACCTGGCCATTCTAAATGTTTTCTGTTGTTCTATGGAATCTATTCCTGAGACTTTTTATCCATGTTGTTCACCTCTACAAGCAGCCTGATGTGAGGGAAGGCAGGGAAGTTTGACAGATGGTAGGATTCAGAGCAGCACCTACTGAGATAGTCCTGGATCTGCACATGGGGTTGTCTAAATTCTTTGACAGAATTGTTGAAACCACCACTAAATTGGATACAGCTAATTTCACTCTATTTACTCAGTTTTAGCAAAATGAAAGGAAATGGCCTTCACTAAAGCAGTTTGATCTTCTGATCAGGATTGCTCTTTGGCTGAAGTGAGAAACTGATCCCATTTCCAGCATTTTTCTCTCAGCTTATCTGGAAGATTTTTTCTAAATCTGTAAAAAAAACTTTTTTCCCTTCTCTGTCCTGATTTTCCACCATTTCCATATGGGAATTCACTGGTACCATTGTCTCCATGTTGTGCAGAGCCATCAGAAACCCTGAAGATCGTGAAGCAAGAGCCAACATGCACCTTGCAAGTGCTTTTGCTGGTATTGGCTTTGGCAACGCTGGTGTTCATCTCTGGTAAGTACAGGAGATGTTAATCCCTTCACAGACACTGCTGCCCTTTTTTCCAGGGTATATGATAAGACACTGTTGCATATTGCTGCTTATCTCAGGGAGAGTCATATGTTGTGAGACGTTGATAGTTCTTGGCATGTACATGTATGAAGGTTGTGTATTCTGGCTTGTGATACTCCAGTCCAGTCTTGTGAGATTTCCAAAATGTGGCCCTCTTTACCTTTCCTGAGTAAAGAGCATAGAATACTCTTACTCCATAAGAGTAAAAACTATGATTGGAGAAAAAGAATCGAGGACAGCTAAAATGTTGAATTCTTTATCAGCTGCTTTGCAGTCAGGCAGCACTGGGTAGCCTTGTGCCATTCCTCAACTGCTGCAATTGGCAGAATTTGCCCAGGGGGCAGGTTCAGCAGGTTGAAAGGAGCTGTAGTAACATTGTAATGTAAACGAGTTTCCTGTGGATGAAAATCTCAGACAAGCAAAGTTGAAGCCTGAATTATTATTATCTTTCATTTCTTTTGGTTGAGCAAGTCCACTCTTTAGCTATATTTTAACAACATAGTTTATTTTTCTTATGCAGGGTGATCAGGTGGGGGTGTAAAATTTGTTATTTTTGGCATGTTTGCATTACTTTAATATCTGAGCATCTTTTCATCGAGTCAGTGGAGTGATACAAGAACTTCACACTCACAATGCAAGGAGCTGCTGCTCTTGCTGTGTTCACAGCTGGGTTGCTAGGGTGCAGAAAGTGAGGGTTATCTGTAGCCAACATCCATACTGTGTCTGTGCCTAACATCCTTTGTGTGTCTGTGCCTAAGAGACTTGCATACAGAAGGCTGACTGCACAAGGGGCTGAACATACATTTTCCAAATACCAGGCAAGTTGCCCTAATTTCTTTCTCTCTATTCTCTGTTCCAGCCATGGAATGTCTTACCCTATTTCTGGTTTGGTGAAAACTTATAAACCAAAGGATTATAATGTGGATCACTCTTTAGTGGTAAAACTTGATTCATTTTTGCGTTCTTATCATACATTTCAATTCTTCATCATCTCACATTAATGAGTGCCAGAGCACATTGAAAATGCAAATAGATGTGCTACTGATGTGTTTATATATACATATATATACATATATTTTTTATTTTTATTTTTTCCAGCCACATGGCCTTTCTGTGGTGCTGACATCCCCAGCAGTGTTTGCTTTCACAGCACAGGTAAATCCTGAGCGGCACTTGGAAGCTGCAGAGATATTAGGTAAGAATCTCTATCGATTCAACTTACTCATATTTACAAAAATTGTTCCAAAATGTCTTTTGGGGAGGGAAAATAAAAGAGTGTGGAAGCAACTGTAGTGGCTGTTGTGGAGTTTTTCTGTTTGAAAAACAAATGTTGGTTTCTGGAGTCTCATTTTTTTGTATTGAATAATATAATTAGAGAAGAAAACTGGAGAACTCTGCTTCTTGGCTAGAAAACTGGAAAGCTGACATGAACTATAGATAATTGTGTAAATCAACAGAGCATAACTGTGATTGTGCTTTATGGAGAGAAGTTACTGTAGTGTTGATGCCATAAAACAAACTGGTACTCAGGTGCATCTGTTACCTAAAAAAAAGTATTTTGCCTAACAAATTCCCTCCTGTTGCAGTGAATTAGGACAGTGATGTTCTGGATCACTCCCGTTCTTTCTGAGATCAAACTGTAACTGTGGCTGTCAGTCCTTCTAACGTAGGCCTAAGCTTATTTGTAGGTGATAGAATTTCTGAGTGGACAACTTCAAGGGAAAGCACTGCATAGCTGTTCTGCTGTCACATCTGTGGTGGCTCAGAAGAGGGCTTTTCTGCTTCCTACCGTAATAAAAGTAAATGTTGCAAGCTGACAGCACGTGTAAAAATTACATTTCCATACAGCTCTTTGTCAATCTGTGCTCGAAGGTGTCCTGGAGATAAGATACTCTTCATTGCACCCTCAGTGTTACTGTGTATAATAAACTAGCCTTCAGCTGTGTGTTCCTGGAGCTGTTACCAGTCTAGCTGTGGCAGCACGGCTCTCCCGAGGGCTGTTTTATTTGTATCTGAGGTCGGCTTTTCTGCCTGTGCTACATTCTGTATTGTAGCTAAACTGCTGCTAATACCCGTGCTTGCTATCTTAAGCAGTGCGCAATCACAGTCACATGCACAGCAGTGTAGACAGCAGAGAGAAAGTGGGTAGGGCAACTCTCCTGGTATCTGGAAAATTTGTATTCAATCCCTTGTATGGTCAGCCTTGTGCATGCAAGCCGCAGCAATCCAGTCACGTGTACAACTTCCCTGTACAAGTAATCTGAAGGCATCGTGGCTTTCATCATAGAGTGGGACTTCTGTATAGAGAGTGAAAATATCACTGTCACATTAAAGAGGACATGAGATGTGAAAGATGGTCAGAAAAAATAGATTGGTGGGGAGGGATTAATTCAGATTATTTTTTAATTGTTCATTATGAAGTTTGTTCAGCCTTCCTCTGCAGTACACAGTCCTGTCTGTGGTCAGACACAGAATGCAGACGTAGTTGGAATCATATGCAAAGCTACAAAATGCCTGTGCTCCTATAGCAATGACATTCAGCTCACATAAAGCAGACTAAGAAAATGTTGTTGGAAAACTGGTCTGCACAGTGCACATCAGAGGATTTGATCTCTGCCTCACTGATTTTAAAAGTAGGAGTGAAAAAGCAGTTCCTTTAGGTTTTGTGGTATAAACGGCTGCCAGAAATTCTGCCTCTAAAAGCTCCATTAGTTTCCTCAATAGAAATTTGAACTATGTTAGTGCCTGCCGTGCTATAAAGTGACTGGCTTTGCTGAGATGACACATGGAAATGAACTTGTTAATTCCCACCTGGGCTGTTTACTTTTTATTCAAGTCTGGAATCCAACTGACTCCAGAAACTAATTCAGATCTGTCACATTGCCAAATACAGTGACTAAGAAAGTATTTTATAACGTGGAGAAGATTACTAAATAGTTACGTTGTATGAATGTGCAGCTGTGAGTTTGGGTACAACCAGAGAAAGCTTAATGCCCCCCTGGGAGGATTCTTAAACAGTTGAAGTAGACGTGTGTGTGGCCAGGTATTTGCAGAGTGCCATCAAAGGCTGATGGGTCCTTCAGGATGATCAAAAAAGAAAGAACTATAGCAGTGTTTTGAAACTTTCCTTCACAGCTACTTTTTGCCTCTGTTCCTTTCCCTTTTCACTTTACTATCTGAAGAATACTGGATTGCTTTTGTGTTCTAATTACTCCTCTACAGCAAAACCCGAGGTAAACTCAGGTAGCATAGCATAATTCCAGTAGCTAAGTCTTCGTACCAGACTGTGCTGTATGTTATTTATCAAGTTCTCCCAGACAGTCTATACTGCAGTACTGCCACTACTGCTACCCAAACATTTGAGCTACTCAGATGAGCTTGTTGCTGTCCTGTTCCCTTAGTCACTCTTGAACTGCCTGAGGATCACAGAAAATATTTTTGCTGTAGCTATGCTGTGTTCTTACTCATTCTCTCAGTGTGGTGCTTGGACCCAGCATAGTTCTTGTGTAACATCATTGAGGTTATGCAGAGAATAAATTTGGCTCGTCTTGCTTGGGAAAGAAGACATATGGAGGAAGCTGTCTTCTATCTGGACATATAATTTTTTAATTTAATACAGTCCTGACCATTCACTGCAGAAAGGGGGGCAGGCTAGGCAAGCTATTCCATAAGAAATACCAATAACCTTTCATTTTATATTGAAGCTTCCATTGCTGTTCAGCAGATGTTTCGAATATGCCAGTTCCTCCTCTTCAGTTCTGCATTGCTCTGCACATCAGCGCACATTCGAACTTTAGGATTGATTTAAGCCATTAAACACTGCCCTGCCATCTCCTGGTTTTTTTCAGCCCACACACTCTTATCCTCTCTTTGAAAGCGTAATAGAACAGAATAGGGAGTAGGAAATTGCTTGTCAGCAGTTTCCCCATCCTCTAGATGTCAGCAAACTCAAGGGCTGAAATAAAAGTAGCATTTGGCGCACTGTCCATAAAAATAAATATCACTGACGTTCCTGTGCTAGCTGCTTTCCTCCCAGCAGTTAGTCAGCCTGAAAAGTGCTTCTCCCTGTGAACACAGAGGGAGAGGAAGTTAACTTCATGTGGCAGTTACTCCTTTTGGCAGCAGTTACCTGCTTCTCCCGCTCTTGTTCTATTTTACTTTTTACTGATTATTCCAGCTTCCAAATGAAGACTGATTCGTCTTCTTACTACGTGTTACTTTTAGAGCAGTGACTGTAATGTATGGATATGTATTCAGCTGATATTATGATTAAATTAAGTCCAGAACAGGCTTCCTCCTCTCTCTCCACCCTACAGTCAAGGCATTATGTCTTATTTTAGGAGCTGACATCCGCACTGCCAGAATCAAAGATGCGGGGTTGATTTTGGCAGACACGCTCCGGAAATTCCTGTTTGATCTGAATGTTGATGATGGCTTAGCTGCAATCGGTTATTCTAAAGCAGACATCCCTGCATTAGTCAAAGGCACTCTGCCTCAGGTAAGACAGAGTGAAAGTTTTACTTGTCAAATAAAATAGATTTTTTGAAAAACAGGAGTGTTTCTTTCCAAGCAAATGTGATTTCTAATCCTACATGAAAACAGCTGCAGTGGAGCAAATGAGGCGTAGTCTTTCCTCTGCATAGTTGAAGTTTTTAATTTTTGGTGAGATGGAGTGCATGCTGCATTCTGTTCTTTGCACGGATTTGGTCTCAAATGGACTTGTATTTCATTTACTGTCCTCTCACTGCTCTGATTAATTGTGCTTTGTAAAACAAGATGACCTGGTAGTTTCTCAAACCTCATTTTTGGATATGGGATGTACCACAATGCAGATGTATTTGTGTTCATTAATACCCACACAGGTAGTCCATACAGGACAGTCTTTGATAAATTTGATAAAGTCCTTTCATCTTGCAGTAGGCTTTCTTCAGAAGCAGCACCCACCCATTCACGTTGACCAGGCAGCACAACTGGTGCTGCTAATAAATCTGCAGGATCCATTCCATGCTGTGAATTGCAGGCTGCAGGCTGGGAACTGTGTTGGGACAAACATCTGTACTCCAAGTTAGAACAGAAATTTGTTTTCCTTTCTAAGTGAATTTGCTGAAACTGATCCTATTCACAACACAGTAGTGAGTCTAACTAGCAAAGAACATCATGTCCCAGGGTGGAAAATGTGGCTGGTTCTGTGTGGGATTTGAGAGGGAGGTGAGGAAAGCTGAAAGCAGGAGGTAGCAGCATAGCCCACCTAGCCCTGCAAACCTGGCAGTGGCAGCTGAAGGGTTGCTGACCCACAGATTGGGGCACTGTTGGCACGGAGTCGCTCATGGCTGGCACTGTACCAGACTTCCCTGAGTCAGAAGGGAGGAGCCGAGGCCTCGCTGTCTGGGCATCGGTGCATAGCAGGCTTGTGTGGAGGCAGTGCTGGTGCTCTGTGCTGACCAGGGATGAGGAAAGAGATATCGGCTGTACCTGCAAAGTTACTGTTGTAGGTAGAGGTATGTGCACAAAGCTACACTTTTCAGACTCATCACAGCTCGTGCTAGTCATGGTGGTTACCAGCTGTACCTCAGAGGTGACTTCTTCTCCATGGTGGCCCAGCATTGCAGATAGTAACCTCACAGTGTGCTGGCTGGTCTCACCTGAGAAAAATCAGTGTGCTTGCAGGGATGGATCCACTAGGCAGATATCAAAACAGGTTGTAGCAGGAGAAACTCCTTTTTGCCAAAGTGACAGCATTCACCTAGAGACTGCTTTGCTGAGAAACAGTGCCTTCCTGCTGTGTCTATGCAGGTGGCTGTAGATCTCCCCAGTGCTTCTGTAAACGTTAAATGCATTGACTATTGAAAGCATAAAGTTACTAATCATAACCATACAGCTCCCTGGTCTTTAAGACATGTTGTAATTTGAGAATATCAGTCCCTAAAGATTGATCTCCTCATTCCAATCTGGCAAATGACTTTTAAAATGGACTCTATTCACAGAATACCTCCCAGCAGTGTATATGGGCCTGTGACAGGCAAGACCCGTGTTTGAAGAACTTGACTTTGCAGCTGAATTGCTTTTTAATCTTGCTTCTATGTGTTTAATTGCAAGCAATTTTTGTTTAATAGATTCTTGAAAGTACGATACAATTGATGATGTTTCAACCTTAATTACTTGATTACTTACTTGCAAGATTTTGTTATTCTCCGTGAAGGACACGAGCACAAAGACACATCATTCAGCCACACACTTAGCTGCTCTTTGATTCAATTTGTTGACAACCTTCCCTAATCCCATTTTTCTTTCATCTTGCAGGAGAGAGTGACTAAACTGTCACCACGTCCCCAAACAGAAGAAGACTTATCTGCCCTCTTTGAGGCCTCCATGAAGCTTTATTAGCTTAAATACTACACTCAGATGTGTGCTCTTTTCTAACACGAAGGTAATTTCTTACAGATAGGGAGATTTAATTTTTTTTTAGAGAATGGAAGAACTTGGGTGTCTTCCACTTCTGTTCCTTTGTGCACTGCCAAAAAATCAAGGAATTCATCTTTAACTAAACCACACTTAGAAGTGAAGGCTTGTTTGTGTTTTTCCTTGCTCAGTAGGCTGTGGTATTACTTGCATAAAGGTTGAATCGGACATCTAGCTTTACTGAAAGCTTTCTTGTGCTTCAGAGATGGTTAAAGGTGAAAATTGTTCTTAAAGGGTATTCCAAAACATTTAATAAAATACTGTTTTTATTTCAATTGTCTGTAATTTTACTAGGAAGCCATGCTACTTAAGAAATAGGTGGGATCACTTTAATTAAGGAGGATCAGTTCCCTTGCAGAAAATGTCAACTTGCTGTATTCTGGACCACTTTATCATCTTTTTACCATCTTGCTTCACCAGGAAGACTTTTGAAGGGGCTACTTTGCTGTTGATAAGGAAAAACATACGTACTTATTACACATTTGGAAGAGGCTTCCAGAGATTTTGCTTTGGGTTAAAGTTTTGAAAATTATTTTCAGTTATTTGTCTTTTCTTTAAAGATCTATCTAAAGTATGCAGAGAAGGAGCAAATACAGAATGAAGCAAGGTTGCACACTCAGCGGGAACCACGTAACAGCAAGACATCATCCATCACAGTCATTTTGTCTGTGTTCCCCTTTCCTGCTGTGTTCTGTGGAAAGAAACTACCAACCGTATCTTGCTTCTGTGGGAAAGAATTGCTTCTGCTGAACTTCTGCAGATGCTGCCATTCAGAGCACAGCCACCAGCTTGAGGAAGTGGCACTGTGCTGTGGTTCACTATTAACAAGTGGTGGTGTAGCATGTGGCTGTGAGTGCCCCGCTGGGAGTGCTGGTTAGATGTGGGAATGAGTGTGCGTGTTCAGAGCAGTTAACCAGCTGGTTGGTTGTCAACTGAGAAAGGGAAGTGGGAAAGGAAGAAACAAAACTAAAATTTTAATATTATATATATATATATATATTTAAGTGTACATGGTTGCATGTGCAATTCATTTAAATCAGGTTCTGCTTTATGTTGGACTGTTTCAGCATCAGATACATGCAGTGAGCACAGCACAAGACAAATGCAAGAACCCCATAACCACTGGTGTTCTCATTTCTGCCTGCTAGGAAGGGAGCAGTTCTTCAGTCTGTCTGTTGAGGCTGAAGGCTCTGTACATACACCTTTTGTGCTTTTGTGTTGATCTGCTAATCTTAACACTAACCTGGGATCTGAAGACAAGTAGATCCTGGATGTTGGCATCAGGTCTGTTTCACTGTTCAGTTAAAGCAGGTGGGTGGCTGCTGATCCAAGACCACAGGTATTCACAACAGTAAAAGGGATTTAGTGGGCATAGAGACTGCACTGCCAAAATGCCTTAGCCTGTTCTGGAAAGCATATGTACTTTCCATGTCCTCCAGAATCTTGTCCTCTGAAATTGTCCAGAGGAAACTATCACAAAGGCTGCCTTCGTAATAAGTGGCAAGGATTCATTTTATTGTATTCTGTAAAGCTGCTGTATTTGTACTATTCTGTACTGAGAAAATCTGGTCTTTGTCTTTGAACATGTCTGTATTGTGCACATGAACATGTCATTTCTGTAGGGGTGGATGGTGAAATTTTAGCTGTAAGTGCCCAGTGATGGCTGGGCATTTGTGTGACACCTGAGTGACTGATTCTACGAGGGACTTCTGTTATGTTGTCGAAGGCCTATAGGATACATCTATTTTTGCCTTGAGATGATACTGGTAATGGCAAGTAATGAACACTATTGTGCTTGCTATAAACATGAGATTATTTGGAAACATTTGAGAGTGAGTTTGACTCTGTCATGTTAACTTCAGTCTTACAAAGTAACAACTATGAACAAGAACCATTCAGAAAAAAATAAGCTTTAGTTAGCTTCAAGGTGCATAGGGACTCCTCCTACTGCGTTGTCTGCTTGGTGAACTCAGCAGTCCATAGCCACAGATGACTCCTGAGGTGAATATTGGAGAAGTTCCAGAAATAATGGCAAGATACCCCAATCACTGCACTGTAATTTTCTGGACATTTAGGAAGCTTTCTGTATGCTCTACTCTTTGTAGTCAGTATATAGTTTCAGGAAATACTAGGATTTGGAGTATTATAATGAAATATAAATAGTGTGTTATACCTGTTAGCAGTAGAGTATGATTGATTTCTTCCCCTTCCCTGTGGAATCACAGTTGTACTTTCTGACTTATATAGCTAAAAATACACGATGGGATTTGTCAGCATTTACAAGGGCTGCTCTGAAAGTAATGCCTCCTATTTCCTTATATTGACCCATGACATCAGAGGCAGATGTTGGTGGTATGGCAGCAGAGGATGAAGGTTCCCACCAGTACTTCATTACATGTTGTTGTTATGTGAGAGATGGTAGCAGAGGGGTGGTCTGACAAAATGAAGTCTAATGTGGAAGCGCACATGAAGCAAAGGTGTGCCGTGGAATTCCTCCATGCAGAAAAAAATGCTCCCACTGACATTAATTGACACTTGCTGAACATTTATGGAGACCAAACAGTGGATGTGAGCACAGTGAGGCGGTCGGTGGTGTATTTCAGCAGTGGTGACAGTGACAGAGGATCGCCTCCACTGGTGCAGGTTTTTACAGGTGTGGCATGCAGGCACACTCGCCTCACAGAGCACTCAGAGTTCGCAGAGTTGCTGCTTGGTGTCAGTAGAAATGGGGGCAGTTGGTACAAAGTTTGTCCAGCCCCTAGTCCTTTCTCTCTTCCCATTTCAGTGCTGATTGTCCCAGCAGTTAGAGCAAAAAGAAGAAAGAGCAAAAAACAGGTAACTAGTATGGCTGAATCTCTGAAAACTCTTTTAGTTTTCCTGTATGAATAAAAGTGGAAAAAACTGCAGGTAAGTCTGTGTGAATGCTCATACCTCATTGCACTGAGCTCACTTGGAGGCAATGTGCCAAAGCTGTCATCTTCTGTCTTTTGGTTGGTTTTCCATCCCCCTGAGACCTGAAAAATGGATGAGGTAGAATGTTACTTAAAAGTCACACAGCAAAGCTATCTCTAGGCACTTTCCATAACCCACAAGTAAATCTGCTTAAGCATCACAAAGCTACAGGACGTGTGCAGTACATTTTGGCCTTTAGCATCTCCAGCCTCATAAATCTGTCACTGTGTTCAGTACATCTGTGGAGAAGAGAAAGGGCAACACGATACAATACAGCAAAAGCCTAAAAGTAGCCTAAAAGTGTAGTATGCATTTTGCCACAGACCACCACTGTGTACTTTCTAAATAAAAAGGCACTTGATTTAAATTCAAAATAGTTGTTAAAAAACACCAGCTAGTGAATAGGGAATACTGATCATTTTCCTCATCTCTCCAAGAGCTGTTGTGACAAGACAAGAAATGGTTTTAAACGAAAAGAAGGGAGATTTAGGTTAGTTGTTAGGTGGAAATTCTTTACTCAAAGGTTGTGAGGCGCTGGCACAGCTGCCCAGTGAAGCTGTGCTGCCCCATCCCTGGAGGCACTCAGGGCCAGGCTGGATGGGGCCCTGCGCACTGAGCTGGTGGGTGGCAGCCCTGCCCACAGCAGGGGGCTGGGACTGGTGTGCTTTGAGGCCCCTTTCAACACAAAGCATTCTGTAATTCATTCTGTGACTCTATGATATGTCACAGTGATTGTGGCTATGAAGTTGTACATGAGATCAAGCAGAAGCTTACTCCTTTGCTCTGAATATCTCAGTGAAACTGACACAGAAAAAAAAAAAAAAGAAAAATAAAGACATATCACCATGAAAGCTTCAGTTCCTTTAAGTTCTCTTAAATGCAGCATTTCAGACTGCAGTTTTATATTTTGCCAATTTGGGGCTTCCATTAGGCAAAAAAAAAATACCATTTTCTCTTTTCACCATTGTGCTGAGACGACTATCACAAGGAAGATAGTAGAAACATCATACAGCCAAATAATAACAGTAAGATAAAGGATTATCTTGACACAGCTCAGTGGAATGTTTATTCACGCCCTTAAGTTAACTGGTTTCTTATTAATAGCAGAGGGAAATTCTTTATGAAGAGGCACAGCCAGGTAAAAGCAGAGGAATTGTGGCATATCCTTTCAAGAGCGCTGGCCATTGACATCACATTGCAGAGCCTGGTTCTACTATCGATGTGGGCAGCACGGGTCAACCTATATAATCATAGATTCATTAAGGTTGGAAACAGCACTAAGATCATCTAATTACAGCCATCGACCTACCAGCACCGTGCTCACTAACCCACATCGCTCAGTGCAACATCTACCCTTTTCTTGAACACCTTCAGGAATGGCAGGTAACTCCACCACCTCGCTGAGCAGCCTGTTCCAATGCCTCAATCCAGCAGCAACAGGAACCATACTGTGGGCTCAGCTCCCTTATGTGTTTAATTTGATCTAAGGCTGCTGTATCATGAAATATATATCACAGCACAAACACGAATTTATCGGTGTGGAACAACTTCTCTGTGTTCACTGACTTGTAGTGACTTTGACCCACTTTAACAATATGCTGGAGTTTTTCATGGGGTGTGCTATCTGAGTGTTTGACCATACAGCCTTAAATTAGCAACTTGACATTGAAATGCTGATTTACACCTGCAGTCAAATGGATAACACATGTTAAAGACCGATTGTCAGCAGCTCCAATACATTATTGCTTCATTCTGTGTCATTGTCACTTGCCTTAAAGCAATTTAAGGACAGCATTGTGTGGCATTGTTGGTATCCTATGGACACAGCTGTAGGGGGCTGACACTTTCTATGGAATTTGTCATCTATCTAAAGCTGACATCACCTTCAAAAAATCCCTGTAAGCGTTGGGATGTTTAAGTGTTGCTCTGTGTTCTAAGGCCACATTGGAAATAAAGAAGAAGCTTTTTTGCAGGCATAAAAAACAGTGAACATTGAATAACTTGCCGTTCTGACCTTTTCACCCCAAGGAAGATTAATGGTCATTTAGATCAGAACTTGCCCCTGATTGCGGATCTGAGTGCTGCAGGGATTCAGACAGACAAAGAAAGCCTTTTCCCCTCTGGTCACCAGCCCAGACCTGCAGTGTGTCTCCAGTGACCATGAAGTGGCCGTTCAGCCATTTGTGTGCAGGAGTTGGTGGCTGTAATCCATTTTCCAAGAGACCGGTGGCTGTCACTGTGTGCTTATCAGAGCAGTGAGAAATGGGAATTCCCACAGGCGGCACCTGAATCACGTTTCCTTCACACTACTGAAGTCTCACAGGCTGCCTAACTTGTTTCAGTGTCTCAGTCCTTCTCCACAGTCACCTTTCCAAGCAGGGAAGGGTTGAAGCAGCATCCACGCTGTGTGTGTGAGCAGCGGCACTCTTTCCCCTCCCGGAGGGCTTCAGCCTCTACTCCCACTCCCAGAGCAGAGTGTCCTGTCAGGACACGCTCACAGCTGCGTTCCTGGCTTGTCTCTCTGCTTTTCTCTCTCCCATTTCTCTCTGTGCACTGTCCAGAGGTGTGGTTTGTGCTCCAGGCGTGAGCTGTGGAGGGAAGGCTTTGCTCTGGAGCTGCCAGGTCAGCATGTGAAGCAGCGATGACATCCTGGCAGAGCAAACAGCACACCCCTCGGCCTTCATGCAGCCATCTCCACTGTTCAGTTCCCAGCACAGTCATGCTGATGTAATTCGTACCTGCTATATTTGTATTTTAAATGGAAGTTCTAAAACTAGAAGTACTCCGTTATAAAAAGTGAGCACAGAGCTCAGGGACAGATTTTGGTAGTACAGTAACCATTTGTGACTTCTGGTGTCAGAAGGAATAACATCACTGACTAACGGCAGTAATGGCAGCTCAGGGAGCTGCCCAGCAGGGCTGAGCCAACTGCACCAACCGCTGCTCAGCAATGGTGCGGGGCAGCTGGTGGATGGGGAGGGCCCAGCGTGTTGTGCTTCACTGGAGGCATCTGCATAGCAAACAAGGCACTGGTAAATTCACCTTTGTACTGACATAGGTATACAGTACAGCCGAGACATTGAGCTTAACTATAAAACTGTGGTTAGCAGCCAGAGGACAAAAAGTTGAAAGAAAGGGCTGAAATTGAGGAGTCTGTATCTTGCTTTTTGGTCAGAATGAGAGGATATAGAAGTGCTGGACTGCAGGGGAATGCCTAAGCTGAGCTTAAGCACTGTGCAGTTACTAGGTTTGCCATGTGTAGCCTCACCTCGAGCACTGGGTGCAGTTTGGTCACAGTATAAGGAATACATACAACTATTAGAGAGCATCCAAAAGAGAGCAACAGAGATGGTGAAGGCTGAAGAGGGCAAGGTGTGTGAGGAGCAACTGAGGGTTTGCACAGCCCAAAGCAGAGGAGCTGAGGGGAGGCCTGATGGCAGCTGCAGCTCCTCACAGGGAGCAGAGGGCAGCGCTGAGCTCTGCTCTGTGTGACAGCAACAGGGCTGGAGGGAACGGCATGGAGCTGCGTGAGGGGAGGGCAGCTGGGGGTTAGGGAAAGGGTCTGCGCCACAGGGCGGTGGGCATGGCACCAAAGTGATGGAGTCCAGTGAGCATTTGGACAGTGCTTTCAGACATAGGGTTTGGTTTTGGATCCCACTCAGGATATTCCATGATTCCATGAGAAGTCTCAATAACTCTTCCAGTTCCCATTTAGTTTTCCCTCTCCTAAGCTCACCTCTGCACCAGCACGTGCTGTGTAGTGGGCAAAGCAGCTGAATGGATTACAACCCAAACTGAATTAACTGAGTATTTAAGTGTAAAGACTAATAGGGAAGATGAAAAGGACAAATAGAGATCATCCGTTCTGTGAAA